TCAGAAATTTTCCATCCTATGCTCATTTTGAATAGCATGCAATTCCCTACAACTCATCTTCATCCCACAAGTTCAAAATATGCACTCATAAAAAGATATGAATTTCTATATTATAGGTCCTTTTGAAAAGTCAACAAAAACACCTTTTGGGTCAAAGCTTCTTACATGAACATGGAAGACCCAATTGAGATGAAACCGAAAAATTTGTTTAGGGGACATCCTAAGATTTCTAAAAAGTCCAAGAACACCCTCTTAGGGTTAAAATTGAGGGAGATATGTATTGTCAAAATTGACCAATTTTTGGAAATGTGCATGAAGTCAATATTGATCAAAATGACTTTTTTTCCAAATGGGCCCATGTTTTTTTGTTTGAAACTTGTTCCTAAGATGGCCCACGACCCCTGAGCTTATCCACCTATTATTATTTTTTATTTTTATTATTTATTTTTATTTTTTATCCATTTAAATCAAAATAAATCAATTTAAATAGTAGAATAATCAAATAAAATCAAAGATTTAATTTTATGAGCATATTATGAGTCCATGAACAGCTAGCAAATCAAAAAATTCGTGCAAGAGCTAATTGATTGGAAAAGATCTTAATTTGGTCTATTTTGGAAACAAATCATACAAGGCAAAGAATGAAATCAAATCTCCATAATTTGCAAAGATATGATCAGTTTTTGTTGACCTAAATCATTCTATGATATATACACAACATTTCTAAAGCATAAGGGAGGTTTTTGGGTTGTGAAAACAAGTAGGTCAACTTCAATTTTTTGTCAAAAAAAGTGATGATCACATATTCCTCCATAGACTGATTCAAGCAATTCCAAGGCCAGCAATCCATTCCTGGACATTTTCTGAAGCCATTCCAATCATCCTCAAGCCTTAAAACCTTCAGAAATCACGCCTCACAGTGCCACGTTTAAGTGCAGGAATAGCACGATGCCATTGTTAGGGTTTTGAGGTCCCAAATTGGGAATTCCATATAGAGGCAAAATTGGACAAAATAAGGGGTACTACCATGCTTAGAAGATGATTTGCAATTGATCCATGTCTTTGTTTTGAATTTATTCTGCTTGTGCTGCGTTTTTGAATTTTACAGGTTTATGGCTACGAACAAAATCCGTCACTATAGCTTTTAGTGACGGAAACGATTGTAGGTAAAAGTGTGGCCAAAAACAATAGTTATGGGGAAGAAGACAATTAGGTGGCAGAATCCCATTGGGTGATTTGAATCACGCACGCGTTTGGGAAAGACCATTTTATTTCCTTTATATTTTATTTATGTTATTATATTTACAACTAACCATCCCAGCATTTTCTCTATTTTCTTAACATTTACATGTAGATTCTATGCACATACGTTCCAGACGCCTACCGTGCATCCAACCATCCATCCATTGGATCATCATTAATCCAAATCCAAAGCTCAATCAAGGAAAGACCATGGTGCACCTACAGGCATGACCAGCACTGGATCTCACGCATGGAGTGGGCTGAACAAAGAATGGGCCCAGACAATTCATCAATACCCCTCCCCCCCTGGGTTGCTTATACAGGCCGATCTCTTTCCCTTTTAATTTTAATTCTTTTTATTATTTCACTAATTATTTTCTTTTACAAAAATAACACAAAAAATCAGTCTTTTTTATCATTAAATCAAAAAATCACAAAAAACAAAAAAATTATTTTTTTTCATAAAAAATATTTTATTTCCTTAATTAATTAGATTAAATTAATTTAGGGAAATTTAATTCCTTTTTTTCATAATTTAAATTAATTAGAAATTAGGGTTAATTTGTACATAAACTAATTAATTTTTTCTCAAAAATAACCTAAATATTTTTTCAACTAGATTTTTTAGGTTTTCTAATTATTCTTTTAGGATTATAAGGAAGAAGACAAGAGAATTGAAAATTGCTTCTTCTGCAAATATGGTTAGTTGTGAAGACGTTCTTTTAGTTTGTAAGGGTGAATATGACTATGAAGTGAAGTGATGTGATACTTTGAATAAAGGATGAATTTGTCGTGCTAAAGTGGGTACTCATCCAAGTCCCACACCGAGTAATGTGAAGAAAAATGAGTAAAAGGTTATTTATAAATATTGGGAGTTAATTTGAGTTTATTTACCACAACAAATTTAGTCTTTTGGTGTATTGGGGACTTGGATAGTTGTGTGTCTAGAGAGGGTTTACAATTTTTCTGTATAAAAATTATGGTTGAGAGGGTTTTCTATTTTTCCGTCTAAAAATAGTTGTTGAGACGGTTTTTTATTTTTCCATTAAAACATAGTTCTTGAGAGGGTTTGCAATTTTTCCGTCCAAAAATAGCAATTTAGTAATTAATTTTTATTAGGAGTTTATTATATTTTTATCAGTTTTTTGATATTTACTTTGGATACATTCCCAACAGCTGACATCAGAGCAAAGGATCCGGTCAAGGGAGGAAATCACAGGTTTTCTATCATCTTAATTGATTTGAGTTTTATTTTCTTAAACAATATTATGGCTACATTGAACTTGGATATTCCTTTGTTTAATGGGAGAATGGATTTTCCTTTATGGAAATGCATGATATAAGACAATTTGGTCCAGCAAGGTCTTGATTGTGCTTTGGGAAAGACAAAACCAAGTGATATGAAGGAATCCAATTGGAATTCAATACAAAAAAGGCAGAGAGTATAATTCAGTTGGCACTTGCTCCACAGATTAAAGTGACTGTCTTGAAAGAAACATCACCAAAGAAATAATGGGATTTATTAGAAAGCCAGTTTGCATCAACCACATTAACCAATTGATTGATGATGTAAATGAATTTATACTCATTGAAGATGGAAGATGAAGGTAATGTATTTAATTTGACCATATTAATAAATTTAATTAGTTGGTATCTAGAGTTATGAATGCATGAGAAGATATCAAAGATGAAGAGGAAGCGCTTTATTGGCTTCACTACCGAAATCTTACAAATCATTAGTGAAATCAATGTTAGCAGGGATGAACACACTACATTTAGATGAAGTCGTGAAATTATGAAGGAGAGTCAACAAATGATGGGTATTGATCAATCTTCCGAAGAAAATCAGGTACTAGTTGTTTAAGGAGGACAAAGAAAGAACTATGGTGATCAATGTGGTAGAAGTTTTCAACCAAGAGATATGAGTTATGTCAAGTGTCATTATTATCAACAATTTGGTCAGATGAAATCTTAATGCTGAGAATTTATAGAGGATGTGCGGAGCATAAGGAAGAAGACAAGAGAATTGAAAAGTACTCCTTCTGCAAATATGGTTAGTTATGAAAACGATCTTTTAGTTTGTGAGGATGAAGGTGACTATGAAGTGAAGAGATGTTAGACTTTGAATGAAGGGAGGATTTGTTGTGTTAAAGTGGATACTCATCCAAGTTTCACAACGATTAATGTGAAGAAAAACAGAGTAAGAGGTTATTATAAATATAGAGTTAATTTGAGTTTATTTACCACAACAATTCTAGTCTTTGGGTGTATTGGAGATTTGGATAGTTGTGTGTCTAGAGATGATTTACAATTTTTCTGTACAAAAGTGTGGTTGGAAGGATTTTCTTTTTTTTTTTGTCCAAAAGTAGTTGTTGAGAGGATTTTCTATTTTTCCATTCGAAAATAGTTGTTGAGAGGGTTTGTAATTTTTCTTTTAATTACCTAATGGAAATTTGCAATTTATACTTGTGATGCTGAAGTGTGGCATTTGGGTAGAACAACTCAGGCTAACTCTGATGCTTTTTTCTTGCTCTTGTCCAACGTTCATGGTATCAAATTTCAATCCAGTCAATTTTTTTCATGTTTTATTGGTTTGGGGTTGTTGCTGTTTTGCTGTTGTAGGGTAATGCTGCTGGCTTTTTTCTGTCATTTCTTTTTCATTGGTTGTTTTAATATTATGAGTCATTTTAGTGCGTTAAAAAAACTCTTAATTTTAGCCTACTATCACATTAATTATTTAATTTACTTATACATAAAACAACAAACAAACAAACATACAATTAGGAAATTGGCCATCAGTCATCTTTTACCAACATGCATGATATGACAAGAATCTTTTGGTATTCCTTACATACAACATCATAATTAATATTCCTCTTACTATTTTTAACTTCTTAAAGGAAGTGACAAACAACTCTTGGGAGGAAATGACTTTCCTCATATCATATGAAAGAGTTCTTTCTAAACTTTTCTCTATGCTAGAGATAGCTAAGAATAATGTTGAAGTAGAGTGGAGTGAAAAATTTGAATATGTAGAATAATTAAAAATGACTTTCCTTATCTCTGTTGTCTTTTTTTTATTATTAATGAAATATTTCATTTTTCTATTATTTCCTATTCTTGTTTATTGATAATAAAGATTTTGAGAATCACTAATTAACAAAGAAAAAGATGGAATCTGAAAAGACGCGCAGTGAGAAATTGTTGAAAAAACTTTACATGCGGATACAATGATTCAAAGCAAGATCCCTCGTAGCAATATTATCTCGGTTTTCTAAAAAAACCGATAGAATAATTAAATAAATAAATTAAACATGACGCTCCCATTACCTATACCCTCATCTTTTTATTGTTCGAGGTGTAAACTTCGTTATAAAAAGTATTATTAATTGTAGTGATAATGGATGATATTAAGTTTATTTAATGACAATGATTTCTAAGTAGTTTGACTTCTAATATGTGTCTCATTAGAGAGTATGCATGGTATCTCTTAGGGCTTTTAATTACCTAATGGGAATTTGCAGTTTGTACTTGTGATAGTGAAGTTAAAGTTCATAAAATATTTTTACGTTAAAAAAACTCTTAATTTTAGCATACCACATTAATTATTTAATTTACTTATACATAAAACAACAAACAGAACATACAATTAGGAAATTGGTCATCAGTCATCACACACCAACATGCATGTTATAACTATTGCAGATTGGTAAGGTTGATCAACCTTTATTATACATATCTAGATAGCTCATCTCCCTTCACATGGTGGCTTTTGAAGGCTCCACAGGAACCCATAAAAGATGGTTTACAGGAAAAAAATGACACACTGGAGTATTCTTCCCAGCCTTAATTCCAAGCTGCCTAAATATAATATGATCCGGGTTCCATTCAGATGTATCCAAATGACAAATGCCAAGAGCTTCCATTATATCTCCATTCTCATCACCAACAAGTGTGACTTTGAACACTTTAGTCCCTGTAGCTATGTAATGGCAATAGTAAATTGCATATGGATAGGGTAGGGGATGACAAGCTACCCATTTGGAAGTATGAATGTCATGTGATACTTCCAAAATGGTGTACTTCTGTAAAGTGGCAGCTGTGGGTGTTGACTTGCTTGTACTGAGAATACTATGTTTGGTGTCTGAACCAATAATTATGTCAACAAATTCAAGCATGGACTCTAGAGAATTGGCACAGATCTTTGTCTCACCAGTAACGGTTTCTCCTTCACATTCTTCAAGTGTTTTTATCATCGATTTGGCTTGAGTAGAATCTTCTGTGATTGAGAAGAGTTGTAGAACACTTGGGAGTTGTGATTTTGAGAGAGGAATGGAGTCAGCCTCTTTTTTAGAGAGGTAAGGAGAAACCTCCTGGACTGGAAACTGGAGGGTCATTACATGTCCAACATAAAGATCATCCATATTGAAATATCCAGTCTTGAAAGCTTCTGTGCGATCCATGTTGAGAGATGCCGACCGTTCTTGATCTTTTGAGTTTGGAGTTGTGAGAGTCTGCTTGGCTTCAAGGGAAGTTGGTCTGTACTGTGTGATGTAAGGTTGGTTGGCTTCATGTTTAACGTAGGAAGTTATGTACTGTCCATTTGATTCATCAGTATGAGTCCTGTACCCGGTGATGTAATCTGGTTGATTCGCCTCATGTTTACCATAGGCCGTTCTGTAAGGGCCATTGGATTCGTGGGTATGAGTCCTATATCCAGTAATGTAATCTTGCTCTTTGACTTCATCTTTACCATAGAAAGTGTTTGGTCTTTTGGAATCATGGGTATGGGTCCTATACCCGGTAATGTAATCAGGTTGTTTGGTTTCATGGTTACCATAAGAAGTTATGTAGGGTTTATTAGAATCAGGGGCACGAGTCCTATATCCGGTAATGTAATCTGGTTGTTTGGTTTCATGGTTACCATAGGAAGTTATGTAGGGTTTATTGGACTCAGGGGCACGAGTTCTATACCCGGTAATGTAATCTGGTTGTTCGGCTTCATGGTTACCATAGGAAGTTATGTAGGGTTTATTAGAATCAGGGGCACGAGTCCTATACCCGGTAATGTAATCTGGTTGTTTGGTTTCATGGTTACCATAGGAAGTTATGTAGGGTTTATTGGAATCACGGCCACGAGTCCTATACCCGGTAATGTAATCTGGTTGTTCGGCTTCATGATTATCGAGTTCATTTAGATTTTCAGGACGTATAATATGGTTGTTGTGTTTTGTGGTAGCATATGAAGCTGCATAATTTGGTTTAGTATTTCCATACTGTGTAATATATGGTTCTTCGTTCTGATCCCCCAGCACTACCTTCAAGTCTCTGGTACAAAAGCCTTGACCAATCTACAACAATATCAATGAAAATATAAAATATTAGTGGCTCAATTAATTAACTGCTATAACTTTTAACAATAAAAATTTTAAACAAATATTTTCTCTAAATCACATTATTAAGTCATGATTATAAATCGAAATAGTATATATTATTGATGCTGAAAACCAAAGAAAATATTTTCTACAAGGACATATATAGATGTGGGATCATTGCAAACTAGTAAAAACCATGCATAATTGAATTAATTACCATGAAGAAGAAAAGGAGTAAAGTAAGAAACTGAAGTGCTAATGACTGAGCCATATTTCTTCTATTAGAAAGAAATTTAAGTGTTGTGAATGAGTTCCACTTGAAGATAACTAACCTTTTTATAGACGATATTGAAGATTTAAAGAAGCTGCTATGGTGGTTTCGTTCGTATTGGAGATCTAACAACACATATCTTAATATTATTAATGTTATAATTTAATGACTTGCTTGCTATACAAGGAAAGCCAGGAATTAAATAGTGTAACATAGTACAGTGGGTGAAGTTCAATCTTATCTGTAATACTCCCTCAACATGGTTTGTTAAAACGAATATGAAATTAGAGTGAAAGTTTTCAATGTTTATGATCCTCTTTTTTCTCCCCGAGAAGAGTTTATATTTTTTAAATGAATAATTTAAGAGGAAGTTCTGGGAAGATGAATGGCAGCTCGGACAAAATTATCAGACTTTGTGAAGAGTTTAATTCATCACATCCATGAGAAGCAATTTAAGAGTGATAATTAAAAATAAAATTTTAGTATGTTTGTGAGAAAAAAAGTCTTGCTTTCGTTATAGCTTGGTATGAGTTGTGAGAATTGTACATCATTTGAGTTGAGATATGTTAAAAAATTTAAGTCCGACAATATATAGTGTTTATAATTTGGAGTAATTTTTAAATTAATCACAAATTTTAAAATTCATTCGATCACTTGTTAGTAGATTTCTCTTATTTGATCACTCATAATTTATTTTTATGCTCCATATGTCTAGTCATAAATGTGAGGGATGTATTAAAAGTCATATACTCTCCCGGCACATTTATAAGCAATAAAATTGATTTTCACTATCACTTTGCCAAAAATAAGTTTTAGCAACACATAAAAGAAAACGTTTTTGGAAAAAAGCGCTGCTGTAGGTTTTAAAATTTTTTGGCTTAAAAAGCGCTTTCAAAGGGTGCCTTAAGAAAGCGCTTTTCAAGAGCGCTTCTAAAGGTCACCCTTAGAAAGCGCTTTTTGGGAAGTGCTGCTAAAGCTGGCCTTTCAGAGGGTACCTTAAGAAAGCGCTTTTCAAAAGCGCTGCTAAAGGTCAGCCTTAGAAAGCGCTTTTCCAAAACGCTGCTAAAGCTGGCCTTTAGAAAGCGCTTTTAAAAGCGCTGCTATAGGATATGCTACGAAAGCGCTTTTTAATGTAAAAGCGTTGTTATAGATGACCTTTAGATAGCGCTTTTAAAAGCGCTTTCGTAGGTAGTTTTAAAATAAATATCAAAACACAATTCGTATCACTTTTCTATTCTCAGTCAGATTTTCTTCACGAAAAAACCCTAAACCAGAGCTTCTACGGCGGTCAACGACGCTCCACTTCTCCGGCCAACTGCAATTCGTATCAGGTTTCATTTTTTTCCTCATCTCGTATGTGTTTGTCTGGTTTTCGTGTGCTTTTGTTTGGTTAATGATTTTGAGCAAGCATGGTTTCTACTGTCATAGAAGTTATTAAGAAGTTGTGCATAGAAGTAACATGCTAAGAGAGAAATAATGAAGAGTAACATGCTAAGAGAGAAATAATGGAGAGTGTCACACGTATGAGTTCGATGGTGAAGAAACTGGATCTGGATCTAGATCTAAGGTTTTCAAGTACCATGTCCAAGTGAGTTAGATATGTGCAAACAAAGATCTGTTATAGATTGGGCATTTAGTTTCAGTAAATTATTTAGAGTTTGAATGTCATAAATATGAGTTTTGGTTTTTGATATTATTTATTCTTACTGGCTATTTCAGAATTTTATTTATCTTATGGATTGAAAGTGTCTAAGAAAGGAACGAAAACAAACGGAAAAGAAGCCGTCATGTATAACTACTTTAGATGATTTCCTGAATGGGAAGCCAGTAATGGCTCAACGGTCGTATCCCTCTCCAGCAACTCAATTTGACATGGGAAGCCGTTTTGTGAACGTTACCGCTTCATTAAACCCGGGATTGCTTTTCGATTAAGCCACTTAATGAACTTCTAAATCTTTTCATTATATTTATAATGTCTATAAGCTTATTTGAACTGTGTATATGGCGTGTATTTCTTTGTAGGTTATGATGATTACACTTCATTTTTGCACTTAAAAGTTGAACCTGTCAATTCTGTTAAGTTTTATGGATTTTTTTTACTGATTTCGCACCAGCTTACTCCATTGTCTTTGATTTATACAACCACATGATCATATTCTGTTTGATTTAATACTTCTTGGCGAGAAAGTATGATGTTTCTGGAGAAGATGAAGTGGTTTATGAAAGGCGTGTTGCTGCCAGACCGACTTCTGCAAGAGGTTTTAATGTTTACTATGATGCTGATGTTGAAGGTGAGGAAATATTTAGAAATTTCTTCTTTGGAGGAATGGCCCGTGCTGCTAATTTATGTGGATTTAGTTTTGTAGGGTCGGGGATGGCTCATAGACAACCTGCTGCTGATAATAGCTCTGACAGATTCAATGTCCGAGCTTTGATTCAGGTGCTTCTTGTGCTTCTCATTTTACTTATTAACTTTTTGCCTTCGCCAGATCCTGTCTACACTCTTTCGCAAAACTATCCCTTTGAACACTGGCTTACTACCCCTAAGGGGGTTAACTACTATGTTAAGTCCACAAAGTTTGAACAAGATTATCCCTTGGATAGCCGCGAGCGTCTTATAATTGAGGAAAGAGTTTAGAGAGAATACTTTGGTATTCTTCGCCAGAATTGTCAGTTTGAGATGCAGCGACGCCAATGGAGATATATCAGAGAAACACCTCACCGTGATATGTTTAGGAAGTTTGATTCAGTTCATTGATAAGTTTGAAACAAGGTTTAATGCAGAGCTAAACTACATGTGATGATATTATAGAATGTACAACTTACTTTTTCACTCAGTAATTAGTGAAACAATTACTAATAAATCACTTTGTTGTGCAATTTTCATTTTAAAAGTCATTATTTATGTAAGATATATGATTACATTGCCTCTCTTAAGTTACTAAATGTGCATTTTGACTGGCATGTATGTCTTTACATCAAGCATTTTCAGATACCTTAAACCGTGCTTAATGGCCAGGCTGAATTCCGCGTGTCCTCATTGTTTTATAACTAATAATGTCTCACCACATGATTCAACGCGTCTTTTGTTTTCAAATACCTTATACCACTAATATGCTCATGTCTTTTCATTTTGAGTTGTTGTAGCAGCTACTTTCCAGGCTAACTTACATTTTCTCATTTTTATTTGTGTTTTTTTTCTTCTGTTTGTTGCATTTCTCTGCTTTCATGTATTTGTTTGAGTTTTGTATTCATGAGGGATGGTTCAACTCATTATTTTGTGAAGGTATTGGATGAAAAGATGAGTTTAAGTTGCTACCATTATGTTTTGCTACCATTTCTCAGTTTTCCTACTTATGGTTTGTAAGTTCCTAAGAGAGAAATCGTTGGCGTACCACCCAAGAAAAGGGTTCCTACTAGATTTTTCCCTCGATACCGGCAGTGTCTTGAAACAATAGTGGGAACAACAGATTTGATGGATGGTGGTATTCGTCAAATGGATATGGATCAAGGTATCTTTGGTTTTCCTTGCACCGAAATAATTGGACATGAGGACGTGGAAGAGATTTTCCGTCATAAAGAATTAGGCGTCAGTATTATGCACGCATACATCCGGTAACCCCATCTTTATATTATGTAATTAGCTGATTTTTTTTAAAAACATTTCAATGAATATAGTCTAATATTAATTATGTTTTTATTTAAGGTTGTTATATGACAAATTGATGCGCGGGAATCAATTGTCAAAAATATTCTATTTCGTGTCTTCCTCCCGTGTCAGCGGAGCGACAATTGGTAGGGAACCGAATTCAGTAAGAGAGCACTTAGTCGAAAGATTCATGGCAACTGGCAGTACAGAAAGCTTATATCTTTGGGCGTATAATACTATTCCTACAGGGTTAGATTTTCATTCTAAGTTCATTTTAATATTTGTAATTTTTGCGTAGAAATTTTCTTCTAAACTGTTGTTTTAATTTATAGACGTCATTGGTTGTTGGTTGCTATCGATCCTATAAAAGAAGTGGTCTATTATCTGAATTCGATTGACGGTGATTGGAAAAATTATCCGGATATGAAGTTAATGATTGATACGTAAGTGAGATTATTCTAAATATTTGTGTGTATTTATATATTTAATTATTTCTGTGACATTGTTCTAAATATATATTTTTATTTTGTTAGAGCGATACAAGTATTCCAGTGTCAAAGAGAAGCTCGGGTACGACGGTCTAAATCAAAAAAATTAATTGGATCAAAGTGCAGGCATATTAATTTCCACTATTTTGCTTATAATATTTATGCTATTTGATAAAACAATACAACTATATATTCTTATTTGTTTTTCTATGTAGTGTCCTCAATAGCAAAACGGTATAGATTGCAGATACTTTGTTATGCGGTTTATCAAAGAAATCCTTCAACTGAATCAAATAGAGATTCCAGTCACGGTATGGATTTATAACGTAGGATTTGTTTTATTATTTCTCGGATATTTCATATAATTTTTTACTTTTAACTAAATCATGCATATTATGTTTTGTTATGTAGTACTTCGATGAATACAAATGTGCATATTACACGAAACTTCAGTTGGAAGAAATCAAAGAGGAATTGTGTCAATATTTTATTGAGCAGAGAATCATATAAGGTATGAATACATTATTATGTGAAAAGTGTTATGAAATGTTACATGTGTACATGGAATACCATATTGACCGTGTTATTATGTTCAAACCTCGCAGGACCAGGACCTTAATACATAATTGACCGTGTTTCTTTCATACATTAGGACTGATTTAGTTGTTGTTAGGGTTGATTTTGTAAGACTGATTTTGAGTTACAATGCTGATAACAATAGTTTTTATATATTTTGAGGTACAAAAATGGTGTATATATATTTTGGATTACAATGGTATACAATGCATTACCGCGGTTTATGAATTACAGGTTATGGCAACTGGTTTATATAAATAATATGCTGCAAACAATGCAGGTATATG